CCTGCAGAGGGCAGCCAGCCCTGGCATGAGGAACTGCCCTGCCATTTCGATGAAGCTAGCCACCATGGTGATCATGAACCGGTGCCCAGGAGGACAGAGCTCTATCCCTGAAACACAGAGCATGTGCAAACACATTAGCCTCAGTCCAGAAAAGGCACCCATCTCTTCGTGAAACTTTCAGGGAGTTAATATCATTCAATACTTGGCCAAAGCTATGCATGGTCACATGAACCTTGTTTCTTCATGTATTTAGGCTTCAAATACCCCAGCAGCAACAGAGAAGCCCATGAACTGTGGTGTGGCACTAACATTGCAATTTCCATACACCTATTGCATCACCTGCAGACCTGCTGCATCCTAATTGTCAACTTTCCTGCAGTTTCACCCAAGGGAATTGTTTTACCAAACTGTAAGACATTGGGTTTTTTTAAAGGGAATGGAGGGCAAAAGACAGTCCATATATTTCAGGTCAAGCCTTTTCATGGCTCTCAGAGACGTGGCACGCCTTTCCAATCAGTTTGCTGGGAGACAGAAGAAGATCACAGCTCTCAGCAGGATACAGGCTTACAGCTCATACAGAATGCCACCTGCCCACAGTTTAATATGCTACGACTCAGCCAGTTTCAAGCTGGGTTTTGCTGAATGGGTTGTTTCTGAGTCCGCTTTTTGTTTTCGCAGTCACTAATCTTGATCAACTTTCAAATGAGTCGGCCTCCCATCTGTCTTATCCTGTCCTCCATCCTTCCTTTTGCTGTGGGGCAATTTACTAACACGACTGGTTGTCTCAGCTGCCTTGTGACAAGTGAGTCCAGGAGATAAATTTGCCTTAAACACTGGCTACCTTTATTTAGTCCTCACAAATGAAGATGAATTTATCAGAATGACTGCCTAAAAAAACGCACCCCCCCCCAAACCAACCCAAAATATAGAAAAATCACAGAAGAAATAGCAGAAAAACTTACTGCTTTCTGAAAATATATTAAAAGATTTTTTTTTTTTCAGCAGAAAGACTGCAATAGAAGCCCCTATTTAATATTTTCCATTTGCCCACACTCACTTTTACAGATTAATAATTAAGCACAATAAACCTGCCACAAATGTTGTGTAGTACTGATTGCCATGCTGATACTGAATCATAGGCTCATAAACATTCATGATATGTTACTGTCAGCATTGTTGCTTTTCCTTGTGATGTTTCTTATGGTTGTTTTAAATTAGAATTTAACAGTTGTTAAAACTGTAATTGAAAATCTGTAAGACAATAGGAAGAGACAACAGCTGCTCCTTCATTCACACTCTCATCTACAGCTTGTTCAGTATTTATCACTGTAACACAGATTTAAACTAGCTGACCAGAAAGCAGCTTCTGGATCAAGTGTAGGACTAAACACCACATTATTTTTCTCCTTTTTCTTTCAGTCAATGACAGAAACTATTGATGGATTTTTGCCAATACAGAATTAAAATGTATCTGTTGTGAGGCAGCCCAAATTTTCATTATCTTAACCACAGACACAGCAGCTTTGGAAAGGAAAGGGAAGGGGGGAAACTCAAACACTCTCACTTGCCATAAAAGGCTTTTATATTTTAATTAGGAAAACAAGATTAAAACACAGAGCTCCTTAGGACATTAGTATGGTTTCATTCTTACTAATTAAGTATGCCCAGCCTAAGCAATTTTTTCTTATTCTACCCAAAGAGGTCACTTCCGTTTTATTTCTCTAATCATCAAATATAAAGCAGTTCTGTTTGTTTTTCTAAACCCTAAAGTTCCAGTTACTCACACTCCAATATTCCTTTATTAAGTACAAGGACAAGTTTTGTTGCTATAGAAACAGGAACTCTGCATTAGCTAGGTAAGGCTTTGGCATTTCAATTGTATTGCCTAGATTAGTATCAGATTTAAAAAAAATAAATTAAAATTAACTAAGAGATCAACTTTTAAATGAAGTCAGAAAGAAGTGTCCAAATAATACAGTTACATGTTATTAAGTCACTGGTGCACAGTACATAACCCCATATGCAGCAGTTACTCATTATATATTAAAAACAAAAAAAAACTTCAGAGATGGTCTTGTATCTGTTTCCTTCTCTGGATTATCACACACATACAACCAGTTTTTGCCGTTTCCTCTAAAAAAGCTGGAAGAGACAAAAAAATAATTCCTGCTGTAACTGGGTGAGCATGACTTTCGAGTGACATCAGCAGGCACTCCATGTACATGAAATACCATGTCTGTTGAAATGTTCAACATATTAGGACAGCCTACCAACTTTCCAACATCTCTGGCATCAATTTTATATGATAAAAGATTCAGCACTGCAGCTTTTAGCAAGCATCTATCAGTCAACCTTTTCCCACCACAGCACCTCTGCCCCAGCACCAGGAAAGGCTCCCTGCACCCTGCTGGTGCCACGATGCACTCAGGCGTGAGGCCTCTAAAGCTACAACAATTTCCACCCAGTTTGCGTGATAAATTACCAACTCACACAAAATCCCTACAAGGCAGAGAACAGCTTTATCCACCTGTGACAAATCCAACAAGAAAGCTCCAGTTCCCCCACTCAGTGAGAAGGTTTCCACCTCAACTACTTTACGGAGCATGGAGAGTCATGTAAAATCTTGTTGTGCACACAAATCATGGAAACTACCATCAGTACCAAAAACTCCTGGCTACATCTGTTTGCTCTACTTGGAGAACTTTGTGTGGGCAAGGAGGCAGGTGTGGAAAGAATTTTGCTTCCTTGCCCAGCATTTCTATTCTAGGCAGCACAGCCAGAGCAGCAGATCCAACTCAGATCCCTAACCTCCATGAAGCCACAGGTACGTGATTATGTGGGCAAGACACAACCCATATGCAAAGCAGTCCTGCAGTACCTGGGCAGTGAAATCAGATGTGGCCAGGACACATGGGACTGACTTTCTCATTGTGAACAGACACGGAGTAACAGAGGACACCACAAGTGCAGAAGTGGGACTCAGCCAACCGCCCATGGCAGAAACGCTCCGCACTCTGTAAGCGTGACCCAGCAATCGCCTTAGCACAGGTGGTGCAGACCTGGTCCCTGCAAGCATCACAAGACACTGAACATAGGGGGTTCATTGCATGGCACATGCCTCTGGCTGGGAAACACAGAAACAAAGCATAGAAATTTTCCTTTCATAGCCTACCCTACATGTCCTTCCTCTACAGAAATGAACAAAGCCATGTTCAGCAGCCTCACAGTCAGCAAACCTACCACAGGGAGAGCTGGTGTGTGAACTATGTCTTTTCTTACAAGGGATTCAAGCATTTTTGGGGCCTGCTTGATGCATCCAAAAGTAACCCCACTATTTATGTACAGGATGTGCACAGACATGTTCTGGCACAAAAGGGACGATACTGAGGCCAGATATGTTACTCCATGAGTCTGCATGCAGGTATTTGTACAGAAGTATTAAAACTGGCAATGAAAAAAGTCAAAGTAAAAGTCTCTGTGTTATGAATGTAGGCGTGTGAGAGAGTAAATGAGCAGGCATCAGAAGGATGGGCAGAGCACAGGTTCAAGGAATGGCACATGCCCATTTTGCCAATCATGCCCTACCCATTATTTCATTCAAGGAGGAGGCACAAACTGATCTATAAATAAGGTATCAATAAGATGATGAACAGGATTGGAGCAATAAAATATCAAGACTATGGGGAAAAAAAAAGAAAGAAAAAGATAAAAACCAATTAAACAAAAGACATCATAAACTCCTAAACGGTATGAAAAGCAATCCCAAGCTGGCTGTCAAGCCTAATTCGCTGCAGTCAAGAATAACTTCACTGAGGTGGAGAGAATGCAGCAGTCACTGCCTCTTGTCCTCTGTGTCACACAGGTGAGCCTGGCCAGACCATGAGTGTATGCCTGAATGACATCCATGAGAGAACAAAATCTCCCAGGCAGGTTTCAGTATGCTGAATTAAATTACTGGTTCTTAAACAAGAACCATTTTATCTCCCTCACTCCTCCCATGTTCTCCCTGGCTTGCAAACCTTTGAGATTCCAGTCAGAAAGTACAGAAAACCTGAATGAGCCTTCACAGGGAAAAGCAGCCCTATTCATAGAGCACATAAAGCACTGAGAGGCCTTTCTGCAAGTGCGTCTATGGTTTTGTCAAAAAGAAACAGCATAAAAACATCAGTGAATTAATTCACTACAATTATACAGTATTGGAACTGGTGCATGCCACTGACGTTGCCTCATCTGGAAACAAGTGTGCCTGGAAGAACCAAGGGAGCAGGGCAGAAAGGACAGTGTTTCTGCAGTCAGGCCGTAGGTGGATGAGGTACAGTGCATCTTGGACCTACACATATCTTTGGAGTGTCTGCAGAGAATCACTGATCCTGAAAGGTTTTATTTTTTTCTGCCTTTTGGAAACCTAGAAATAGGTTGGAAAGATTACAGGTCTCTGGATGGTTACACACCAAAAATCAGTTGTCCCCAGCAGCTGACCAAAAAAGCTGGGATTTACAGCAAAGGACAACTCTATTGCATATCTCTGCATAACTGGCCAAATTTAGGAAGATCCCAACACCTGTTACAGTTCAGATGGGATGGCAGGGGGAGTTGGAGCACCTGCTCTGAGTGGGACCCGGGCACTCTTCCCACCAGTGCACTGCATGAGCTGCATAGGAGACAGGCCAGGAGGGCTCTTGGCTTGACCCTGCCAGATGTATGGCTGTGAGAGCTCAGACTTCTTGGGACGTGGGAAAGGAGGGAGCTAACGTAGAGCCTCTGAGACTCCTCAGGAGCTCATCCCCACTGTGTAGCAGGATGCTCCATCTCTCAATATGCCTGCCTCAGTTTCCATCTATGATTCAACTGCATTTTGCCTCTCAGTTTTGCAGGCCCAGGCCTGAAGTGGAAAGGTTCCCAGGAGAAAGGAAAAGGCCTAGCAAACTCTTAGCTGGTAACAACCTTGAAAGGTACAATCAGAGGCCAAGCTGATGTTCAAAACACCAGCTGCTCTCTGGTGTTGAAGAACACGGAGCCCAGCCCAGCCACAACTAGACCTGACAAGGAGATAAAGTAAGAACGAAAAGATAAACAACAGAGTTTGCTCGGTGGAAATAGGGCCTTC